CCCCCGCCCACCACTTGCGCAACTGGACTTGTCCAGTTAACCGAAAACCATCTTCGATGTTTTGACATGTGAAATGGGGCCAGCGCTTAAAAACTAACGTACCACTTGGAAGGTAATAAAAGATGATGTAAGACCAATAATTTTTATATATATTTTAATAACAAAATACAATATGATATACTTACGTTGATCAGTTTCGCATATGGAGCAATGTATTTTATCGGCGACCTTATGTGATTGAAATACGCTACCGGCGCGAGACTGATTTGCGATCGGATTTTCGACTGATATTCGGGTCTTGTCGAAGCCATGATGAAAAATACGGTAGTGCCCATGGAATAACCTATGTAATGGAGTTGCGAGGCGTTTGTCTTCATCAGGATGTAGTCGAACGCAGCCGGCAAGTCGTACGTTCCGATTTCGTGTAAACTGTAGTGTAAAAACAAAGATTTAGAACAGAATATAGGTAAATATTGCATAATAATATTGTAATATTATAGGCATTGTATAGGAATAACCGAATAAAAAGGTAATATTTCTCTTGTGATGACATTTTTAGATCCWACAATGCCGAAACGACAAACAAGYACGGTAAATAATTATTCTGAGGTGAAGTACTTGAATTTCTGAATAAAGGAATCATTTTGTTTTGTGTTTAATAAATGCTCATAATACAATATTATTAAAAATTATTGATTATTCACTAATCATTAATAACTACAAAATGYTGAAAAATATTAAAAATAATAAATATTTTAAGCCGACTGTAATGTTTTYCATAACAATAACAACCATTATTTTTYAATACATTAGTACCTTGTAAGTGCTTACCTGAAATTCCAATAAGATCTTTGCTTGTAGTTTAGTGACACGTGTTTTCTACTATAAGTGTTACCACGACTGTTTCCCAACCACACGTCGTATCCTGCATCGGCGAGTTGCATGGCTACGTATACAATAAATAATAATTAGGAACATTATTATATAATGTTTTATCATATTATACTATTATTTTCRATCGTTTTAAAACATCTGTACCAGCATTACGCCACAATAACGTGCGCTTAGCGATTATCAACRAAAATTTATTTATATTATACAATATTACTTAAACTCCCTGCTAGTCAAAACTATTTTACAAACATATTTTTTACTTATTTGTCATTGCCTCACACTTCATAATAAATTTAACATTACACTCATAAATAATATCAATAACTTTATGATATTATAAAAAGCCAAATATTTCTATAAAATATTCTATGATAAAGATG